TTGGTAGACTGAGTAAGAGACTATCAATCCAATTCATCCCTTTTGCGCGATCTCATTGACTGAAAAAAACACAATGTACATATGTCAAGATGATAGTTCGATCAAGACTAGTACATAAATTTCTAATATTTCTATAGATGGTAAAGTGAGAGCGAGCATCATATCATAATAGAAAGGTGAGTAAAGGGGACCATCAATGTCCAAATAGCGAGATAAGAGGGATAGCATAGATGCAAAAGCATTGTATAATCGGGTAAATTACAAATACACTCCTGAGGTTTGCTTAAAATACAGATTACCCTCTATAGATTGAAAAATTATCAATACCCGCTTATTAGAATTTTTTATTTAACAGAAATAACTAAAAAAATGAAATTCATTATTGCTCTCCTATACAATAATAAAATTACCTAAATTATTAATTGAAACATATTTTTAATATCATTAAAAACTGTTAATTGACTTGATGATTTATTAATAAAAGAGGCGATTTATTATGAAATTAGAAACCTTATGGGGTGGAATGTAATTTTCAAAATCACAGAGGCGATTTGTATTTTAATCAAATCTCAGGGAATGTATTTGTAATTTATCCTCGTATAATCTAACAGATTAATAAGTCACTATGACTTTAGCGCAAATGAAACTAGTCCATTTTTTATTCAACGTTTAAATTTCAAAGTCAGAATCAGAGAAAGAGCTTAGCTTGCCAACCTATATTGGGCTGCCCAACCATGCCTAAAATTAGAATATCTTGCACTGTGGTTTGTGGCCATGGACCAAGGTATTTCATGTAGTTTTTAAAGCTATTATGTTGCCCTGGATTGTTTTGCTTGTGCTTTGTTTTTGTTTTATTTTTATTTTTGGAAAAATACAAGCTTATTTAGGTGTCATTTAATAACGTTTACAATTTATTTTATTGTTTACAGAAAACATTAAATGTGTTTATGCTTTTTTTGTTAAAAACGAAAATAAAAACACAATTGGTACACATGCATTTTAAAATAAGTGACAATGAATGGCCGGAGGGAGTTGTCAGTGGAAGTGGTGGCGAAGGTTGTTGCCAACGGCCAGACGGGGTGATTACTGGAGGTAATGACCACAAGTGGTTATCAATGGTGGAAGTGGTGGCTGGAGATGTTAGCCAGAAGAGGTGATGAGTGATGGATGACGACCAAAAGGCGTGAGGGAAAAAAGGAAGAATGAAAACTTATTTCCAAAACAAGAACAACTTCTTCTTTTTTTTTTTTTGATTACAAGAATTTAGTAAAATTTGTCAATTGTTACAATTTTTCAGCAATGAAAGACACTCTACGAGTTTTTTTTTTAAATATTTTTTATAACAAATTTCTTTTTTTTTTGTGAACATAAATAAAAAACTAAACACATAAACCTTATCAAATGAGTCCTTAACAAACTGCTTTTGAAAAAAAAAAAAAAGTTGAATTTTTTTTTTTATCTTTCTAAAAAAATGTGTTTTAATTTTCAGAAATTTTCTTTTTTGGGCAAGTTTATCAAATGAGTCCTTAATGAGTTTTATTAATGTTTGTTTTCTAGATTAATAATGTTTATAAATGTTTTCTAGATTAAAGGGGAATTAGTAGTTTCATCTCTCGATTATTTTGATGATTATATTAACTTAGACAATAGAATGCCCTGAATAACAATTATTGGTTCAATCAATCATAAAGGTCCAGAAGAAACTCTATATTGAAGGTGAAACTAATCAAGAAAGTGAATTTTGATTGCTTTCATGCTTTAATTTCTGTAAAATTGGCAAGTGTATTGCAACATACTAAATTAAAGAAATTAAAAACATACCTTAAGATTTCAACACAATCATTATCATTGTTGTCATTGTCGTCCATCTCATCATCCCAGTCCAGCTCAAAAGAGCTCGCTGACTTCATGAGCTCCGTTCGTCCAGTGAGATCTTCAAGAAAGGTAGGATGATTAATGGCTTGAAGGACAAAATCCATCCCTCTTTCCCAATATTCTGATACCACCTGGACAGTACAAAATTCAAAAATATAATAATAAAAAAAATTCAAAAAAATCATTACAATTTCGTAATGCTAGAAACTTAACAGTGCAGCAACAAGCAGAGCAGGTTTTTGAGGAGTGACCAACGATAATCATCTGAGAAAACTGCGAGAGCAATCCTCGAATTTGATGGGGTAAAATACCAAGAGGTTGTTCAGTGCTTTCATTATGAGTAGAGTTGGCAAACTCAGCTTTGACATATAACCTGTAGGGCAGTAATGACAATGTAGACAAAAATTTGGAAGGAAACTTATATTAGATTTGGGCCTGTTTTGTGCAGTAACTAAAAAGTTAATAATAAAAAAACATAAGATAAAAGCACCCCACTCAGCTTTTAGATAATCAATTTTTTCCCCTATTTTTGAAAGTTATTTCCACCCCATAAATTATAAGCAAAAGTAGCTCCACCAAATATGCTAAAACAGATTCCCGTTATTAAAAAAAACAGTCAATAGACTGCACCAAACAAGAAATTTTACACCCAAAAAAAAAAAAAAAAAAAAAAGTTGGCAGTTGACTGCAAAAAGAATGAGTAATCAGTGCAGTGATTAATATGCATGCAGAAAACTTTAATATCACACAATTGCAGTTACAAATATTACATCAATAGGGGCAACCACATCATTGCAGAAGTAACTACCCAATCTATGCTCTCTGTCTCTGTCTATCTGTGAGAAATTTCTGATTTCAGAAGATGAAGTATTCACAGCATTGCCTTTGAAGTCGTGAGTACTTCTGAGAGGACCGGCACCGTGACAAATAACCAAGAAGCTGTCGAACCCCAGAGCTGCAGTTACAGTAATCTGACGATAGAACACGATTGAATAAATGAACTATTAGGAGTTAGGAACACTAAGAAAGATGTGGTCCAAATTTTATTGAAGAATTTGATGCCAAAGTTGACAAAAAAATCTCAATTTTTGCCAATGGCATAAAGGACATCTAGGAAGCACGGACACGGACACAATATGATTTCAAAAAAATAAGGATAGACAGACGTGGTGGGGATAGAGCAAAAAAATATTTTTATATAAATATTACATCTATAAACTATTAAAATTAATGAAAACTTACATTAATTTAACATATTTAAAAAAAAAAAACTATATCTAAATTAGCTAGAGACTAGGTCTGTGTTGCATTTGGCTCCAGGAATCGTTGGAAGTCAACCTCTCAACTTCACAACTATGGTTAGATCTATGTTGTGTTGTTGAGGTTTGCTATGAATTCTATTTTTTTTTAATTTTAATTCAACCCTCATGTTTTCAAATATTATAATATGATCCTCAAAAACAATTTTGAAAAATTAAAATAGGATCACGTTGTCTCCTGAAGCATGTCCCCGCTTGTCCCTTGCAAAAAATTTAAATTTAAATTTAAAAAATAGACACTACATGGTGTGTCCTATACGTGTCCATGTTTGACATAGCTACAACACCTATTTCGAAGTGTCAGTGCTTCATAGAAGGACATTGACCTTGTTAGCATTGGCACAAAGAAGAGCTGGGAGCCATCGACTTTCCCTTGTATCAGTCAATAAGAAAACTGCATCATGACAATCAATTAAATCGTGTAGGTGTTTGCAATCCTCAAGCACACTATTTTCTTCATGGCTAGGCACCGGATGCCGGGCATCGGAATAGCCGTCACAACACCTTCAGCTTCCTGAGAATAAAACCAACACAGGGATAGTTTAAGGGAATCAATTTTCTCAGGTTAAATTAGGTTGAGAAGTTATGTAAGGGATAAAATTATTTACCACAGCCAGAAAGATTTTCTCTAGACTTTTAACTGCTGCTGTGGCTTTAAACTCACCACCATTAAGGCAGTCATCCAAAGTATATAGGGATTGCCTCAACAGATTAGACATAGCCACCCTGCCACTGTCAAGTAGTGTAATTTTCTGGACAGTGTTATCAAAGGCGATAGGCGCACCAAGGCGCCAAGGTCTCCTGGGACTTAGGCTCAAGGTTCAAGGCGCAAGGTGAGGCGCAGGCCTCATCGAAGTGAGGCACACCTTGTACGGAAAAAAATATATAATTTAATATAATTAAATAATTTAGGGTTCAACATAAACAAAATGAAATGTTAAACATTTAGTGTTTTTTGGAGATTAGGAATTAGGGCTAATTATTCTTCTATCATTGATTTGGGATTAAATGCTCAATGTATTGGCAACTGTAATAAGAGTAGGGATCTTTTGTAGCTACATCATATTAAATCAATTGTCAAATTTTAAACAAAACCAATTAAAGTGACAAGAAAAAAAATCCTCAAGACGCAAGCCTTGGGCCAGTCAGGCGCCTTATCACAGTCGCCTAGCCTGGAATACTACAAGGCACAAACCTTGGGCCTGGACAGGACTTGGGCCTAAGTGCACCTTATCGAAGTCGCCTAGCCTAGAATACTACAAGGTGCAAACCTTAGACCTGGATGGGACTTGGGCATAGGCGCATGTCTAGGCGGGCCTTTAATAACACTGTTTCCGGATGCCCCAAGCCTGCAGTTGCAAATAATTTTTCATAACCCAGGCAGCAAAATAAAGGAATTTTATCATAAAATCTCATTCACTCCCCATAAGCATCCGAGCAACCTGGCATCCAAATGTACCGGCCAGAGAAGGTGTTAAGTCCAAAGATGGCAAAGCACGCCATCTCATTAATTTTAAATTTAAATCTGCAGCCAATATTGCTAACCTGTCAACGTTGTAGCTTTAAATGTTAAAGGATGCAATGGAATAATGCCCTTATGGACTATGGAGTAACAATCTCAACACATACCTAGCAGATCCATAGATTTAGCTAGGCTAATACATCTTAATAACTTCTTCCCTCTATTAAGTTCCCATCCCACGGCATTAGGAACATGAAATGAAAGCTATCTTTCCATCCTAAACAAATAGTGTTTGTGTTAGGAAAGCCAGTGCTGAAAACAATTTTAACTGTAAAAAGAGAGAAAATTCTAATTAGAAGAGAGCTGTTACCCAAATTCTGCCGCTCTACCTTGTGAAACTGATATTAAGGCTTCACCAACAAGGGACAAACCCAGATCAGCAAAACCACGATTCTCACGATAGCACAAAAAGTGAACTTTCTCTCGTTCCATCTTGAACAAATAAATGCAAGGAAGTTGCAAAAAGGCCAACCGGGATCACTTGGAAGATGACATGGGTCGTAAAAGCCAAAAAGAAACTGCCAGCAACATGTAACTTAGCTTTGTGGAAGAGACATCTAAAACTTCAACATAATGTCTAACAGGACTCAAGCCATTGAGGAATTAAACAAAGACCGTATTTGGTGCAGCTTATTGAAACTACTTATAGCATTTATTTAGCAATTTGTGCTGAGTATTTGGTGTAGTTTCTGCTTATAGCCTATGAGGTAGAAATAGCTTAAATAAGCTTAAAAAGGTGATGATGTGAAAGCTTAAATTCTACTTTCTGATTATCAACTTTCAACTTGAGAAAAGCTGCTTCAAACAGGCCCAAACTGTCTTATTCATTTCAATTAGCAAAAACTAGTATAAGTTTACAAAAAATGCGAAGTATGTGGACATACCTTATGGGAATCATGTTGGTAGGAATCCCAGTCCTTCAGATGCTTGATAGTAGCATGTGAATTTCAATCAAAAAAGACCCAAAAAAGCGGCACATCTACGGCAATCTCATATGCTTTAGGTTCTCCACATAAAGTGCAAACAAAACAAACTGCAGACAAATAAGGTATAATAACTCGGGACATTTTACCTGCCGTTGCGCTTGAGCTATGCCACTCATTACACGCTGCTGATACCGATTCAGCCTATACACCACAACAATAACCTTGGTGTCAAAATTGATATGAAAAGTCAAATACAGTACTTACAAAAAATACTAACATTTGCCTCAGCTCCTCTAGGCTGAGGCACGTGGAAGCTGGCCTCAAATCAACCTAGGTTGCAGGAGGATCAAGCGACAGAGAAAGGAAAGCAAACCAGTAATGAAAGGTCCACTTTTTAAGGTCTGCAAATGATATAAGAAGGAACCTTGAAAGTACTGCACTGTCCTCCTCAGCCTTTCCAGAATGAATCTCCTCCCAAATCTGATATTCAATGAGATATATACTTTTAACAAGAGAAGCATATTTTAACATTTCAGCCAACCTGTTTTTCCAAGATTACAAGTAGGGGTGTTCAAAAAGACTGATGGACCGGACCGGACTAATCAAAATCAGACTGTTTGGTTTGTTTTTTTGGAAGGATGGTAAGATTTCGGTTCAAAGAAATTAAGAACTATTGCTAACAGTTCTGTTCATGGAGTAAGACTCTAAAGAACCGGAATTGTTCCTCATTCTAATAAAATTGTATTTTTTATTATAATTAGTATATAATATAAGAATTTTCGGTTCTTTACATGTTTTACAAAAGTTGGTTCAGAGAATATTCTAAGATTTTGAAGTATGCTTGTTAATGTTTTGAAATATATATATATCGGTAGAATCATTTTTTCATTAAACTTGATATTCTGGATATAGGAATTAATTTTCTCGCCTTAAATTGTGGAACTGAACTGGAACCAAACCACTTTTGCGATTTGTTTCTGGTTCAGTTCCAAAAATTTTGGCCTTGTTTGGTTTGTATTTGGGAAACATGTTTTGAGATAAAAAGTACGAAAATTTGTTTGGTTTGATTTTTTTTCAAAAGATGTTTTGAAAATTTATTTTGAGAGAGAGTTTTGGAAAAAGTGATTGATTTGATGTGTATGAGAGAGAGATTTGTTTGGAAAATTTGTAAACCAAACAAGTTTTAGAAAATTTTTTTGGGAAAATTTGTTTGGTTTGATTACTTTTGAAAACTTATTTGTAGAGAATTTTTCCCAAAATTTTTTGAGCAACACAAACCAAACAAGGCCTTTTCAGTTTGGTTAATTTCTGGAATCGCAAGGACTAGTTTGGATCCTGGCTCACCCCAAAACCGAACCATACTGGTCTGTGAACACCCCTAATTACAACACCCACTTTTTTCTGTTTTCCTGCTTGGGATGATGAGGGAGCTCGGCAAGATTCAAACCTAAGACCATCCCAAGCCCCTCCACCTGAACCATGGCCCAGCAACACTTGCAAATCTACTTAAAGGCTGTGGAACTGAAATACTTGTTGACCAATTTTACAAACTCACGCCAATTATGCTTAGACAAAAGGAAATTCAAGTATAAATCAAGAATAAAGCCTATCTGAATAAAATACCTTCTTCGCTTCTGCCTTTAGCAGCTCTGTTTATCGAGGGCTTGAAAACCCTCCAATGTATTTGTGTTGTATAGAATGCCAGGGACAGAGCATTTGTTCCTGTCACCACGGCTTCTTGTTATTGACAATTGAACACATGGTTCAGGTGGCAACGATTCAGCACAAAGAGTTAAAGGATTTGATAATTGAGAATGTGAACAAGGTGCCTAGAAACCTGCCACAAGATCATTTCACTTCTCAGGTACATGGTCACCCATCAAAAACAAGCGATTTGCATTTATTGATTTATAGGTCAAGTTAATGTAAACATAAAATTTATGTTGATCAAATTTTCCATGAAGGTCTAAGATTAATTTATGACTGGCTTCCAGCCTCCTAGGTTGTTACATGGACTCTTCTATTTCCCCCGAAGTACTTGTGTCCACCGGATATGACAACGATATGGGTGTGGGATATGTGTTTGACATCCGAACCCAATTTAAACACTTGATTTCTCTAATATTTTACGATATTTGCAGAAGAAGCTTAGGAAAGAAACATTTATAGCCTCTCACATGGATGAGCAATGGAAATTCCATATTCTCTTTAATCCTATTTAAGTTTAAGTATATTTCTATATAATTTACATCTTATCTAAAAATATTATATGGTATGCATGCAATATATATGCGGCATGTCATGTCCCCGTATCCATATTCAACTTTTGGATGCATATCCCAATATCCTAAGTTGAGGGGGTCTTGGTATAAATAATCCTTTGCTTTTTTCAAACTAGTTTCTAATTCTTCAACAAAAAAAAAATTCATAAACACACAAGTTATGAAAACTCACTCAAACAAATACTTTTCTAGCTATTTCAAATTCAACAAAAGAAGACAAGAATTCAAAGAAATTGGTAATGAAAATGCCATACTCAACACTCAACACTCAACTCAACAAATTACTAACAAAATGCCAATCCATACTATAACTGAGAATTTCCAATAATTACTTCATACAATCAAACCACAATAGAAGAAAATTGAAAATTAAAAAAAAAAAGAAAAAAAATCAAATTAGGAGAGGAAATAAAGAAGCATAGATACAGATAGATACCGGTAATGGAAATAGGGGAATCGTCACTTCCAAAGAGATTGAGCTTCAATGATGATAATCTATGCCAGAAACCCTCGTCAACAGCATTCTGGAATGGTGTGAATTGAAGAACACTTCCATTCTCATTTCCCTTCTTCATACTTGCTGTGCTTCTTCACGTCTCGATGTGATGATTTTTTCAGTGAAGTTGATGATTCTGTTGCAGCTTATTTGTTGATTGACGAACAAAAAGAGGTAACAATTCAAATTCAAATTCAAAATCAAAATCAACATCAAAATCTGTATTGCACTGAGATTTTAGCAACTTTCGACTATCAATTTATTTGATTGGCCTTGCACTTTTTTTAAATCAAAATCCTAGGTTAGCAAATCCTACGTCAGTTAGCTCCGGTTTGGGAAGTGGGTTGGTTTTTTTTTTTTTTTTTTGACTTTTTTAATTATTTTAGCTTGGGCTAAAAGGTTTGGTTTGGGTAGGACTTTTTGACTTTTTTGTTTTTTTTTGTGAGAGAAGAATGTAATGATTATGAGTTGGATGTGATATTTTGTTTTTTGTGGCTAAAATAGCCTATTTTGTCTTTTGTGACTAAAATAGCCAAAAAAGTCCCGTTTAGCTCTTGCCAAACGGAGCCTTAGAAAGTCTAATTAGATTTGTGAAAAGAAATGGAGAAAAAAAAATTGAAATTTAAGAAATAATAATTTGATAATAATTTTTTTTTTTAAGAGAAGTTAAAAAAAAAAATTAAAAAAATGTAAAGGTTTGATTTTTGTAATAAAATAAATCATAAAATTTTTGTTTTGTCAATTTAAATGTTAATTTTTTATTTATTTTTAATTTAAATTATCTGTTCATTTTCATTATATAAAATTTACCAACTAAAATAATTTTTTTTTTTAGACAAGTTTACTTAAAAATATGTAGATAGATTAGATTAAAATTAAATTAAAAAAATTAAGTTTAAATTAACAAAATAAATTTTTCAGAATTTATTTTTTAACAATGGTCAAATCTTGAGATTTTTTGTTTTTGTTTTTTTGTTTTTTTTTTTTTTGTAATTTTTCCAAAAAATAATTTTTTTTTTAGCATTTTCTAAGGATAACTTTTATCTTTATTTTTTTTAAGAGCAAGGAAAATGATTGGCAAATAAAATTAATGGGTAGCCAAACAAAAACTCTTCATTTTCTTCTCAAATATTTAACGCAACAAAAATAATAAATAAATAAATCTAATTTCCTCCACTTTATTTTCATTTTCATTTTCATTCTTTTTCTTTTTCATTTTTTTAATTTTCTCTAGAAATTTTAAATTCCAAACATAACATAGGAGGTAGGGCTTGCAACTAAGATAATAACCATGGCTCAAGGGATGCCGGAAAGATATATTCACTATGTTCCTTTACTTAGTTCCAAATGTTATACAAAAGTAATCTCACATGCGATTTATACATTCATTGGTAAGAAAACACATGAATCTATAGCATGTGAAGCATATAGTTCTCAAAACAAATAAATGCCCTTATGGGCTACAACTTCCAAGGCTTAAGCCCGGTTACATAAAAGTGGCCTCTCGGACCCATACAAAAATAGCCCTTGGCTAGCAATTAAATCTCAACAAAATAGAGCTATGTACTCTTCACAATTATCCACGCCCTCAATTTGGCGGGATCACTACGTCTTTACCTGCACCAAAGTCCCATAGGGATAAGCATAAAGCCCAGTAGAGAAATCTTAAAAGAGTATATACATTTTATACAGGCTTCGCAAAAGGAAATGCACTTGCCATGCTATGTTTTCTTGAAAAAAAGATCACATTTTCACCTTTTGAAATCATCATGCCCATTGATAAATTAAAATCTCAACACTTCAAAATTTATCCATTTAATCCAACAGGGCGGTAAATACGACTCAGGTAATCCCTAAGCTGGTATCTGCAAGTAGGCATAACTAGCACTACCAATAACCCACTTTACCGGTTGCTAACCAGAAGGGAAGTGGTACCTCCTCTGCGCGTATTTTCGGTCTTTCATCCCAGACACTCAGGCCAACGTAATCAATTTTATCTACACCTCCTATCTGGACTTACCAACGTATTTACCCCAAAATAATTCCATGAAAACTTATTTCACAACATGCTTTTCTCAATGCAAAAGTTTTCAAATTCAATAATCAAAATTTACTATAATCAAATGAATTGAGATGAAAATGCAACAACATCAATGCAATGAAATATCCTTTCCATTAACAATTCTATCCCATGATTTAACCATGAAGATCCATATCATCAATTTCCTCATTTCCAAGGTGATTTCACAAGAGAACCATCTATCTAACCAAGTTCATCAAAAATAACAATGTTTCCACATTTCTCTTATTCTCAACACATTAGTCATTTTAAGACTATAACAACATTGAACAACAACTTCCAATATCAACACATTTTCATTTTTTTTTTCATTTTTCATGAAACCCATCATTATATATATATATATATATATATATAAGAAATTTCGCCATTCTTTACACTTTTGGCACACAAAATAGTATTTAGGCAATATCAACCATGTATTCTCAGCACATTTTGAAAACTCCCAAATTTTAGGTTTTTCTCACCACAATAACACACACACACACACACACAAATCACTTGCGAGAATTTCTTCAAAAAAAAAAAAATCTTCTTCAGTCAATGTAGTTCAAGCCCTCAAGGAATTATTCCAAAAGAGACATGAAAGTAAATCTACTCCCACACTACCCACATTTTGAGCCAAACATCAAGTTTCAAGATTCACGAGAGAAACTTCGAAAATTTAATCAAAATTTTGCAAAAATATACATGTAACTCTAAGAAATCCCCTATCTCAAGTTTGGAGAAGAAAATGAGATGAAACCCTTAAAATCGATGGTGTTGAAACATGATATTCACCACACACAACGAAGCCCTCACTTAGCTCTCCAAAGTTTGTGAAGAATGATGGATCAAAACCCCAATAGATTGCAAGAAATTAAGGGCTTGTTTGGTTTGTATTTGAGAAACATGTTTTGAGATAAAAAGTACGAAAATTTGTTTGGTTTGGTTTTTTTTCAAAAGATGTTTTGAAAAATTATTTTGAGAGAGAGTTTTGGAAAAAGTGATTGATTTGATGTGTATGAGAGAAAGATTTGTTTGGAAAACTTGTAAACCAAACAAGTTTTGGAAAAAAATTTGAAAAAATTTGTTTGGTTTGATTACTTTTGAAAACTTATTTGTAGAGAATTTTTCCCAAAATTTTTTGAAAAACACAAACCAAACAAGGCCTAAGAGTTTTTGGTGTTTTGGAAAAGGTTTTTAGAGAGAAGGAGGAGCAAAATTATTTTAGAGTGAGAAGAATATGTTTTAAAAGTGATATACATAGTCCAAAAGAGAGAAAGAAAATAGAGTTTTCGGATCCATGCCCGTCCCGCACGTGTGGCACTTCCCCCCACACATGCAACCCTCAATCCTGCACGTGTGGCTCTCCCATTTCGCACCTCCTCCCGTACCTGCATATAATGCAGTAAGCAAGCCTAGAATTCCCCTGTTTCCCGCACGTGCGGCTTCACCTCCCGCACGTGCGGCTCAGCCCTGAGCCCAAAAAATTTTCCAACTCGAGTGCAAAACTCCCGAATTCAACTTTAAGCCTCCCGAAACAAATGAAACTCAACACCAGATAAACAATAACAAGAATTTTGAGAAAGGCTCCCAAACACAACAAACCCAAACGGTTAACAAGGTTCCAGGTTAAACTCGTCACTCTAACAAGGGCAAACCAAATGCAAACAAAGAGAAATTAGATGGATAGCATACCCAGTCATCACAATTTGTTAGGTGATTAGAAATTTGATGGGACATAATGTAATTTCAGAACTATATAAGATAATCCATATTTTAAACTACTCTTAGAATGTGTATTTGTTATTAATTAGTAATAAAATTATTGTATTAATGGCATTTAAACGTTTAATTTAAGCGATGTTTGATTTTGACTTTTTGGTTAAAAAAGCACAAAAGACAAAATTGGTTACCTAAGTCAATAAGATAAAATGTCACATTCAAACCATAATCATTGCACTTTCTCTCACAAAAGTTAAAAAAGCCAAAAACAAAAACCAAACGAGGCAAAAAAAAGTCAGGCTAAAATGGTCAAAAAGCTATGCTATTAGCTCTTCCCAAACGAAGATTTAGTTAAAATTTTGAATGCTGCAAACCTATCTACTTTATTTTATATGAGCCAGGTTAGAGATTATATATTCTTGCTTAATTTGAAAAGTAACTTAAAATCATTCAAACAAACCCTCATGTGTTCACGGTTCAATGAAACTGTTCATGAAAAGATTTTGACTGCGATGTAGAGGAGCTGTCCTTTGATGAGGACGAAGCAAGCTGTATGAGCCTAACTGAGAAAGAGGATGCGGGTATGAAGGAGGAGAAAAATGGCATCCCTTAGGTTAAAATCCCAAAGAGCTTGTTAAAGAAAGTCAGAGAACCATGGGGAAAATGTTTAATAGTCAAATTATTGGGGAAAACTATAGGATATAAGTTGTTTATGGCCAAAGTCACCAAAATCTGGGGTCTGCAAGGTGACTTCGAAGCCCTAGATATTGGCCATGGTTTCATTATAGTGAAAGTTGATATGATGGAAGATTATACTAAGGTGTTCACGGGTGGACCCTGGGTAGCCATGAATCACTATGTCACTATTCGAAGATGGCAACAAGATTTCAAATCGAATGAGGCTGAAGAGGATACTACAGCCATGTGGGTGCAATTTCCTAATCTACCCATCGAATACTATAATGAGAAAGTCCTATTCCACATTGTGAAGGTATTGGGGACTTCACTGAAGATTGACATTAACACAGCCAAGGCAGCAAGAGGACGGTATGCTCGGGTCTACGTTGAAATGGACCTTCGTAAGCCGCTAATCTCCCAAGTCGCGATAGGTAAATATATCTACAACGTTGTATATGAACATTTGCACTTATTCTGCTTTTCTTGTGGCAGGGTTGGACACCGGAGGGAAAGCTGCAATGATAGAACCCTGTCGGAGACAACTCCACAAAGACCAGGTGCTGCTTGGAATAAAGAAAAACATGAGGCATCACACATCATTGATCCCAGCCCAACCAAATTTGGGTCGTGGATGACAGTAACCAAGTCTAATAGGAAACCAAGAGGCCCAAGCCCAAGAAACGACAACACTCAACAAAGGAATAGATTTGAAACACTACAAGAATGAAGAGAAGACCCTAATGATATCAAAGCCCAAGCAAGGAATGAAACGGGCCGAAGAGGGAAAGCCCAACTGGAAGGAGGCTTTAATTAT